GCTGAGACAGCCGCAGTGAGCTGAGTCTTTGCTTGGACTGAGACAGCCGCAGTGAGCTGAGTCTTTGCTTGGACTGAGACAGCCGCAGTGAGCTGAGTCTTTGCTTGGACTGAGACAGCCACAGTGAGCTGAGTCTTTCCCTCTGCGCAGCCTTGCCCTCTGCAGGCACAGGTAGGACTGGCTGAGCCCCACACCTGGCTCTCCACTCAGCATACGGATGTTCTGCCCTGTCTGGGCAGAGGTGCACTAACTGCGGACAGGCAGGGTAGTTACTGTATGCTGCCATCCAGTAGTAGATAAATGAATAAGAAATAAATGAATAAATAAATAAATTGACAGAAGAAGCAGGCGGTATGGATAGTGGCCCACTTCTGAATGCAGGAAGGTAAGCCAGATTATGTCTAAAAATGTATTCTTCTTGCCTATTTTTCAATGTTTGGGCGGCTATACACGGTCAGATTTTACTATTAAAGGGGACATCAAGAGACTTCCGAAAAAATACATATTTATTACTCACCGTTTTAATAGTAACAAAGCAAACAAAGATATCGATCTTAGCTGACAGTACACCATAAACTATGTAATATTTTCGGGAAAAGTTAAATAGTTGTCTTAAGTGTTGTATATTTGATGTAGAAGATATTTAATCGATGGCATGGCGAAATCACAAAAGCCTCATAAATTTATGTTTGCCGTGGTCACGTCAAAGAGCCCATAAGGTGGTCTAATTTTCCAACCAAACTGGGAGTTGAAATTATACTGATATTTTTTACGAGAAGATGAAGAGTTAAATAGTCCACTGCTATCCTGTGTGAGATTTTGACAGGAAATCACCAAAGAAAAATAAACGTTGTTGGATGTCTTTCATTTATAGCATCTCCCTGTTATTGATGCAAACTGTCATAAAACATTAATATAGTCTACTCTATCTACAAAGCGTCTAATTCCCAGTGTCAATGACAGTCTAGCTTTCTACTTCATGGAGACTGCAAAATAACATAAAGAAGCTTTGGTAATCACTTATAATATCAATACCCTTTCATGTATTATACACCAGCGCTCAATGAAGTGCATTAAATCGCAGCTGTTTTCGGTCATAACTCAGTAATTTTGATGAAAATTAAAGCGGAGATCGGAAGGCATCAGTGCGCTTTTCTCGGCAGTCGCACTTACTCCGGACTGACTTTGCACATGAACCGAGGCCACCGACATCACGGTTTAAACTTGCTCTGACAGTATAAAAATATAATAATTTTTTTATATCAGAGTAAATAAATAAACCGTTTAAATCAGAGCAATAAATGGCACAAGGGTTTGCGGAGCGGCTTCTCGTACGCAATTTGAGCCTGCTAGACTGGGACCTGTTGCACGAATACGGTCCATAAAAAGGAGCGCCATCGCCGCTGTGCGATTAACACTCAGAAATGTATGTATATTCCATATACCCTACACATACATGTACACGACGTGCCGCAAATCCTTTGTCATTTCACTTTTATGAGGTTCCACGCGATCAAGTCATTTAACATATGGTTCACGTGTATTCCATGCAGGGAATACAGAGATCTAGAAATAAATATCCATTTTACGCAGAAATGCGTAGAACAGAACTACCGTGCATTGATTCTTACCTGTCATCTGCTTGCCAATCACCGAGCAACAGGTCGCGGAAGCGGTACCGCGGCGGCAGCGGCAGAACGTCCTTCTCCAGCTCCACCATGCTGCCGGACAGGCGCGCGGCGGCTTGATAAGCGGCAGACGCAGATACGTGTCTCTCTTCACTCCTAAAATCTCAGCTCATGTGCTGTTGTATTAAGACCATCGATGAGCGAGGGTCCCCTACCCAGTCGGGGCTGGTCCCATGTGCCGCAGATCGGAGCTGCGCGCCTCTTCTAGCGGCGCCCGGTTCCCCGGAGCGGCTCATCGTTACGTGCGATCGGTGCGCTGGGCGTCATTATCGAGGCGCCCGGGGGGCTGTGAACTCACACGGCGGCACTCGACAGACAGTCGGTGGGACTTGTCAGTGGCCGGTTTTCTTTTAAAGTTCACACACCCACGCACACAGCAAGAGAGGGCGATGGGGGGGGTTGGGGGTGGGCGTTTATATTATTCTAGAAAATGGATTTAAAGTCCAAATGCTCCTTTTTGCATGCATGCTGTCATGTTCTGCTGTTGTGTTTGCTATGTACTGTATTGTCTGCATAGGCCCCGTAAGGCATTATTCATTTGATTAGCTTATTGTATCTCAGGATGTAACTTGATTTGCACTTTTATTTACTGTTCAGTCTTTCTGTGCAGCATTTTGAGTGTTTGAAGGTGGACCACAAGAGATGATCTGATGCTGCTTACAGATTTTCAGCCCTTATTGGACAGCACAGGATCTGGAAACAGAAATATCGAATGTTTCTACATCCTGGGGCTGTCTGAGGCACTAACGCGAATAAGATTTTCAAGCCTGGGAGGGTGTTGAGCTGCTCAGTGCTGCAGACAGTCAGGCTTCCAGTACTGCTGCCCCCTCCGCTTTCCTTACATCCCTCCTCCCAGCACATCTCCTTCTCCTCCCACAGGAACGCTTTCTGGTGTCCACCTTCCACGTTGTTCAGTATAAATGAATTTCCATTCACACAGGCCTTTGTTGGTGCTACAGAGCATCTATAGCAGGGCTCAGAAACACATTGGGTTCCATCTATCCACCATCCGCCAGCACTTAGATACTATTCATTTTGATTTTTTTTTTCAAGCCATCTTTACTTTCTTGTTGGAAATTATAAAGTAGTTGACTATAATCAATAACTGCATTCAGCATGGCTGATCAGAGAACTTTCACTGCAGTTGACCTACAGGAGGGCATTTTCTTTATTATTTACAATACCAGAAAATTCTCTATTTTTAAGGGTCTTCTGGCTAAAGCCAGACAGTTAATGAGAAATAGAAATATAAGCCTATGAAAACATCACATTGAAATAATGAATTATACAAGATGAAACAGTGAGAGGCAGGGAGCAGCTCAATAAACACTGAAATTAGAGCCAGTACAAGCCTAGTCAAGACACTGCAGACCCACAATAATCCAGCTGGATCATTAAAAACTAACTTTATGTCTTTAATTGCAGTTCTATCAAGCAATTTGTTTTAAACATATGGCTAAAGATGGCTGATAATCAAACATACAACTCATTAAGCATTCATTATTTATTCTCTCCTGTGTTCTGAAATAAGGGTAACAGTGACAACGCAGAAGAGGGTGTCATATGGAGTGTAAGTGTGGGTCTAAGAGTGCAAGTGTGGGTCGGAGAGTGTAATCATGAGTCGAAGAGTGTAAGTGTGGGTCTGAGAGTGTAATCATGAGTCTTAGAGTGTAAGTGTGGGTCTGAGAGTGTAATCATGAGTCTTAGAGTGTAAGTGTGGGTTGGAGAGTGTAAGGGTGGTTCTGACAGTGTAAGTGGGAGTCTATGTAAATGAGTACATGTGGGTCTGAAAGTGTAAGAGTGAATCTGAGAGTGTAAGTGTGAGTCTCAGAGTGTAAGTGTTGGTCTGAGAGTGTTATCATGAGTCTTAGAGTGTACATGTGGGTCTGAGAGTGTAATCATGAGTCTTAGAGTGTAAGCGTGGGTTGGAGAGTGTAAGGGTGGTTCTGAGAGTGTAAGTGGGAGTCTGTGTAAACGTGGGTCTGAGAGTGTAAGAGTGAATCGGAGAGTGTAATTGTGAGTCTCAGAGTGTAAGTGTGGGTCTGAGAGTGTAATCATGAGTCTCAGAGTGTAAATGTGGGTCTGAGAGTGTAAGAGTGAATCTGAGAGTGTAAGGGTGGTTCTGAGAGTGTAAGTGGGAGTCTATGTAAACGTGGGTCTGAGAGTGTAAGAGTGAATCTGAGAGTGTAAGTGTGGTTCTGAAAATGTAAATGCAAGTCTGAGAGCGTACATGTGGGTTTGAGGGTATAAGCATGGGTCTGAGAGTGTAAGTGTGAGCCTCTGAGTGTAAATGTGGGTCTGATAGTATAAGTGTGATCCTGAGAGTGTACACAATGGTCTAAGAGTGTACATGTGGGTCTGAGAGTATAAGTGTGGATTTGAGAGTATAGGTGTGGATCAGAAAGTGTAAGCATGGGTCTGAGAGTGAGAGTGTAAGAGTTGGTTTGGGGTTGTCTGATGTGCATACATTGGCCTAATGGCACATCTCATCTGAAACCTGATGGACCTGTTTGAGATTATTTGCTTATTTAACTTCTGTTTGTGATTTAATAAGAGATGCTACTTTTACACAGATTTATGTGAGATGTTGTTCTCGTCCAGCTTTCATTACATCCCATGAGAAGTCTTTGGGGTTGTAGGGTATGCTCTGTACTCTACTACAGGTCTGGTCACACGTTGTGATCCCCAGAACTTGAAGCTGGAATCTTGTTTGACCTTCTAGACATGCTGATGATCATGATTGTTGCATTGAGAACCGGCAGATGAAGATGAGAACGGGCAAAGGAATCTGTGTTCTTTCCATCACATCTGCACCTAATCCCTGTAATGCCTGAAACAGGGCATTGTTTTCTCAAATAATGATCCTACTCCCTGTGCAACCCCATAATACATAGCTAATTGCACCTAATTGGAATTTCACAGTCTGTTGCTGTTTTGTGCTGTTGATAACATTTGTAACAGTCATGTATTACTCTGTTTGTAACACAGGAGTTGCTTTGCATAATAGTTTCATGTAGATAAAAACATCTCTATCGCACACAAGTGCTTATCCTGGTCAGAGATGGTTCCAGCAAACACAGGGCACGATGCCGGGGTCCATTGTGGACAGAATGCCTGTTAATAATTCTTGTATTTTGACACCCTTGATAAGTGATGGTAATAGCTGCTATATTATTTCCTCACCACTTTTCAAGGTCTGTGTTGTGAGTTGAAATGTAGAGTAAATAAATATGGAAGTATAACATAGACTTTATAGATTCTTGTCCGTTATTCACTGAATCCATTGGAGGTGTTTGTTTCACCGACAGGCTCATTCAGAGACAGTGACCGGGGCACCATAGCTCAATAACAACGTGCAAAGGTGAAAATAATCATGAAGGGCAGCGGGGGAACATGGACACTTTTCTTGGTGCTGCAAATATGCATGACAAAGCCATATACCCACATATATGGATACATTATTCTCATGCTATTTTACTAAAACACCTGTTTCCCTAAGAATAATCGTTACAGCAACGGATTTGCGGCTAGACCACATAAAAACTACGCCTAGAAAACTCAGATCCCTCTTCCAGCTGTTAGCTAGTTTGGGGGGGGGGGACAGATGCCAAAGAGAACATGAAAAATTAATGTTCTTATTATACATAGCCTGTCATGTCAGATCATTAATCTGTTTCTTGGCAGTGGTTCTGAAAAACACCAGTTACACTTAGGTGATGCTACACTTAACTGTGCATTGAAATCTATACATTGAATCATAATTCTCTGTGATGCTAAGAAAGAGCTAATAGAACAAAATAGGTTTCTGAGTGCCAGAGATGTATCATACGAGGGGCAGGACAAGCTCGTCACACCTGCTGTCACAAGTCAGCTGCTTGATGTGCAAATCCACATGTGCAGAGACAAAGCACCCCGGTCGTAAGCACTGCAGATGCCGCCGTCAGATGAGAGGCTGATGTGGAATCCTTGGGAATTGGATGTTCTTTGATAAGTTAGTTGCCCAGTAGCCATGGTAACAGCGTAACGTGCCCAAAATATCAAAGAAAGAAGTGCATTTCCTACCAAACTGACAGTGTATCAGGCAACATCGTCTCTGCAATCTTCACAACAGCAAAGAAAAGGCAAAATACTGTGTGTGGGAGGGATCAGCAGGCACTGCCAGTCACTGAGCTCTGGTGGGAGGGATCAGCAGGCACTGCCAGTCACTGAGCTCTGGTGGGAGGGATCAGCAGGCACTGCCAGTCACTGAGCTCTGGTGGGAGGGATCAGCAGGCACTGCCAGTCACTGACCTCTGGTGGGAGGGATCAGCAGGCACTGCCAGTCACTGAACTCTAGTGGGAGGAAATCACTGACCTCAAGAGGGAAGCTGAACCCTGCGTACGCATGCGTGTGATAACGAGGGAGGGTGCCATTCATTATAGCCAATTTTAAACCAGGATTGGATGAATAAAGCTAAAATTGCAAAAGTAAACAGGCAAAGTGTTTCATTTAAAAAAAACATCCTTCCAGGAAAATCAACACATCCTTTGTAATTAAAAATTGGTGCGAAAGAGGCATGTTGGGAAGCGGCCTGGCTCCAGAAGGATGGCGCTCCCACTGAGTCAGACCCCCTGCTGGGTCACAGAGGCAGGCTCTCTCCAGCTCAGGCGGCTCCAAGGGGCCCCGGGGCCTTCGTTTTACCATAGCCAGCGCAGGCTGGAGCTGGCCTGCCAGTGATCACGCCACCTATGACGGCAGCACTCTTCTCATTCTCATGTGTGGACAGTCTTATCATAGGCAATGCCTTTGTACTGTTATTGTTTAAAGTATACAGTCTTTTTCAAATTTTAATACATTTCAGTGGGTGTGTTGTTTAGTGAATATAATCCCTCTGTTAATATTTTTCTAGCGCTGGCATAAGAGGGGCTGTATTTGTTCCTGTTCATTGATTCTTTGAGCGCGTGCATGAGAGCTAAGGGGTATCAGATAGATCGCTCAGCAGTCACGTCACAGACTCCATGACTGCCACCGAGTCACTGCCAGAGAATCACAGACCAGGCCGGGGCACTGACCTCACATAATCTGCTGTGTTATACAGCATGTTCATTGATCTCCAAGGTGCCTATATCCCTTTATAGAATAGAATTGTGATACTTTATTGATTCCTGTGGCAGAAGCTCTCTTTTTGCCAATCCCTTCTTGCTCTCCATGAGACACACAGACATGTATGCAGGTGAGAGCAAGCTTGGGTGTGACGGCACAGAGTCAGCCAGCGTGCAGGGGCCCTGGAGCTGGGGGTTAAGAGCCTCACTCAGGGGCCCACTGACATGTGACTCAAACAGGCAAC